TGACTGACTGACTGGCTAGTTGACTGACTGACTGGCTAGTTGACTGACTGACTGGCTAGCTGACTGACTGACTGACTGACTGACTGACTGACTGACCACCTTGGTGAGTGGGGGAGTGAGTGAATGACTGACTGACTGGCTAGCCAATTGGCCCACTGATTTACTGTCTGGCTGATTGACAAGGTGAATGCTTAACAACCTGAATGAAGGACTGACCACCTAATTGGCTAAGCAACTGACTGGCAGACCAACTGAATGATTGACCATCTGGTTTACTGACTAACCAGCTGTATGGCTGACTGAAAGACTAACTAACTGATTAAGGAGGGGGGCTTTGGGATTTTCGGTTTTGTGGTTTGGACTGTTTTTTGGATTGGTTTTTTGGTTTTTGGGCCAAAAAGGTTCGGTTTCTCGGTTTTGATGTTCAGAGCAGTTTGCGGATTTTATGTGTTTTCGCATTCGGTTCTGGTTTTCATGAAAACTCTGCTGCGGTTTTTGGTTTTTCCTTTTTGACCCCTTCGAAGGTGAAAATGTAGCGGTTTTGTTAGGTTTGCATGCGATTTTCAGTTTATCTGCCTTTTTTTGTCGGGTTTTTGGTTTTGTGGTTTCCCAGAGGCCCCAATGCCCCCCTCAGCAAGTGAATAAAAATTGAAGAGACAGAGACTTTGTGGATTAGTAAAATTCAAATTCTAAATCATTTCTCACCATAGATCCCCTTGTCATCCATCCTAGATCACCCTGGAAAAAATTAATTAGAAGATGGAGTTCAATAAAAATCAACCATCCTGCTCAATAACCAAAGGGAAAATCCACAACAACTGAAAAAGCTTGCCATATCAAATTTACCAACACATCAAGCACACACAAAAACATATCCAGAGGTAATTACCCCCTGTCTTGCTTTATCTTCACTGTATGCTGAGGCAACTTCATTAAACTTCTGACCATCTTTTAACTTTGCCATGGCTTCCATTGCTTTAGAGTGCTTTTCACATAAAATATGTCTCACCTTTAGATATGTAAGACAACATTTATAAGAAGTCTAAGTCAAATATACCGAAACTAAAACTTTAGATACTTCAATTGATCTGATATCCTCTTAAATTCATTGACTCTCATTTCCCTGGTAAAAGTTACTTCTCCCACCTGGTTCAAAAACTCATTACATTCAAAAGCTAATAGTTGAATATGTTCTCCTCACCACTATCCAATGATCCAGTTTTTAATAAATATATCTTATTAACCAAGAGCGAGGACTGTACTGAGAGAATATTGGCCTGAGGTCTTGACTGTACAGACTGAGCGCAGCAAGGTCCATACAAAAAAGACCGAGGGCCGATATTCTTCCAGTACGGTCCCGAGCAGGCTTGGTTAATAAGAGATTTATTATACGACTGAAGCTCAAAGGGACACAAGAGCGGTATCATTCGGGACCATTGGGGACAGTGCCTGGTCCAATATTGAGAGAATATTGACTGGCAATAGAGCATTTTGATTGGTTGATTTTAATTATTGGCCCTCTGACTGCCTGAGTTGTGTAATAATAAATAATATACGTCAATTGAGGCTCTCCCATAGGGGCTTTTCAGCCACAATGTAGTTTTAACTAAGTGTTTAAAAATCCCCACTGGCAGGAGGCAGACCAGTGGGCTATTTACAGCATGCAGCCAAGGAGTTGAACTAGGGACAACTGAGAACAAATCCAGTGAGTGGCAGGGTGGAGGACTTGAACCTGCGCTACCCTAACCACTTGGCCACCATTCTACTTGACAGTATGTTGATATTGTTACAAGTATTGCATTGTTAATCCTTCCAAACTATATCAACAAATAGCAACTAATTTCTCCTTACAAGATCACTCCTGAATCACACAGAAACCTTTTAACTCCCAAGATCTGATTATGAATTCTCCCCTCTAGCTACCACACATTTCCTTGTAAATTGGTTAGGAGAATTTGGTGTTCAATCAAGGTAACAACTTCTATCTGATAAGTTTGAGTATTCTCATTAACTGTTTGCTGGATCATGTATGGATATTATAGGGAGAAGTTACAGGTTAATTACTTCTGGGAGTTACAAGGTTAAGGTTGCAAGAATAAACGAAGAGATCACCAACTAAAGAGGCTTTGGAAAGTTAAACAAATTCTTCTTGAGAGAACAGTATGGAGAATATGCATACTGATGTTAGGGTGTAACAAGCCCTACCTTCACTGCGGTTCCACCCTTCTTTGCCTTCCCTCCACTTGCTCCCTCGTCATCACCACCCCCTCCTCCTAGAAAATTGAGAGGAAAATATACGTTGGTAAAAAATATAATATATATATCTTATTAACCAAGCACGAGGGCTGTACTGGGAGAATATCGGCCCGAGGTCTTGACAGTACAGACCGAGCGCAGCGAGGTCTGTACAAAAAAGACTGAGGGCTGATATTCGTCCAGTACGGTCCCGAGCAAGCTTGGTTAATAAGAGATTTATTATACGACTGAAGTTCAAAGGGACACAAGTGCGGTATCATTTGGGACAGTGCCCAGTCCAATACTTAGAGAATATTGGACCAGCAATAGAGCATTTTGATTGGCTGATTTTAGTTATTGGCCCTCTGACTGCCCGAGTCGTGTAATAAATTGTATTATGGTATTTTATTGTGGGGTTCGTGTACAAATTCGGATCTTCTGTACTCAATTGACAAACTTCACTGTAGAGCAGCAAAAATGGTCTACAACTTATCCAAAGATATGGAATCTAATGTAGCTCTAAACGTTTCAGGATGGGATACGATAATTTAGAATACAAATTTCAAATAGTTAACCTTTTCTATAAAGCAAGTAAAGTCTCACTACCTCAGTCTCTAATTAATAGCATATTTATAAGGCGGGAATGTAGCTATTCACTAAGAGACCAAGAAGCAATAACCATACCTAGATTCAACACTAGATTGTTAAACGACTCTTTAGCATATAAAGGTTCGGTGCTATGGAACAATGTTAACCATCATGTCAAAAATGTAGGTAGTTTTGCCCTTAAGAATCTTAGGAAGCTACTCAGGAGAAATAATCACTTGACAAGCTTTACTTTTACTAGTTTATTGCAGGTTCGACTGCTAGGAATAGATTAACTGATTACAAGTATTTTTAAGAGAGGAAAATTGAATGTTATACTGTATTATAGTTTCTTATTTAGTTTGAAATGTGTCTTAGTATAATCAATAATTGGCTAGATACTATTTTGTTAAGTACATGACCCCACAAGCTTTTCATGATAAATAAATAATGAATAAATAAATAATAAATAAATAATGATTTAACAATGGACATCCACTGGGTGGCTATTCTTGTCCACTGTTCCAGATCGAATTGGAATTTGCTTTAATTAGGTTTAATTCTTATCGTGTATAAATAAAGATTCTATTCTATTCTATTCTACCAATATTCTCATTTTCCACAAAGTTTCGTTGCCTTTGGACCCTCAAACAAAAAATAATTGCAACTTCTAGACCTCTTTCAGGGCTTTTAGGCATTGCATGATTTATTGAAGGTTACGTTTCATCGAGCTTGCCTTTTGCTCCTTTTCCTTTATCTTGTTTACCACCTCCACCTCCACTCCCTTTGCCTTTTTTAGGTGGCATTGCTTAGTGAACGCTTTACCACTAGTGCTGATGGTCTGTTAAGTGAGAATTGTCTTCCATAAACTATATGTCAAGTTAGGCCGCCATCTTTGAATGGACCGCGAGAGCTTGGAAATAAATTTTAACAATATCTTGTCAGCGGGCTTAGACACCAAGATTAACTTCATGTAAGACGTCATTACAAGCTTCTCAAAAACAAAATGGCGGAAGAAAATCTCCAAGTCGTGTAACTAGAAAAAGTTCTTGTAACCAGCAAAATACTCAGGTTTTGGTCATGGAGACTGGCCCAGCTTTTCCGCCACACCTTTTGAAGAACATCAACAAAGAGAAGGAGGAAGAAAAGCAAAATTGTGCGCTAGCAAAGAAGGAAACGTCCTCGCGACCACTGCAGGACTTTGAAAACGGCAGCGATGAAGACGAGTGTTATGGACCGGTCTTACCACCAGGGTTCCAAAATAAAAAGGAAGAAGTCATGAGAACGAAGGTTATTGGACCCATGAGACCTCCGGTATCTGTGCCTCCGAGGGCAATCTCGTCAAATGGTTTGTGGAGATTGTAATTTTTACCAACTTTTAAACACTTAATAGAATGCACGAAAGATGAAGTAATGCAGCTGGTACATATAACTTGATAATTTTCGGTATCAATTTAACAGACCAACTGGTAAACTTACTGAAAAATCAATCAGACAATAAGGTTGACAATCACTCAGTCAGTGAAACACCAGTTAGCCAGTACTGCAAGGCGTTCAGTCAGTCAGACACCACTCAGGCAGTACTGCAAGGCATTCAGTCAGTCAGACACCAGTCAGGCAGTACTGCAGGGCATTCAGTCAGTCAGACCCTAGTCAGGCAGTACTGTAAGTCATTCAGACACTAGTCAGGCAGTACTGCAAGTCATTCAGTCAGACCCTACAGTCAGGCAGTACTGCAAGTCATTCAGTCAGTCAGACCCTAGTCAGGCAGTACTGCAAGGCATTCAGTCAGTCAGACCCTAGTCAGGCAGTACTGTAAGTTATTCAGTCAGTCAGACTCTAGTCAGGCAGTACTGTAAGTCATTCAGTCAGTCAGACCCTAGTCAGGCAGTGCTGTAAGTTATTCAGTCAGTCAGACCCTAGTCAGGCAGTGCTGTAAGTCATTCAGTCAGTCAGACTTTAGTCAGGCAGTACTGCAAGTCATTTAGTAGGTCAGACACTAGCCAGGCAGTACTGCAAGTCAGTCAGTTGGTCAATATAAGTTATCTTTACCATATGTGTGGCCAAGAATGCATAAGTAAAGATTATCAAATGTACTAAGATGAAACAAAAAAACTCTTTTTATAAAACAAATTGATTTGTATCATAGTTGATCATTAAATAGCCCATTTCCGAATTACCCNCATTCAGTCAGTCAGACCCTAGTCAGGCAGTACTGCAAGTCATTCAGTCAGTCAGACCCTAGTCAGGCAGTACTGCAAGGCATTCAGTCAGTCAGACCCTAGTCAGGCAGTACTGTAAGTTATTCAGTCAGTCAGACTCTAGTCAGGCAGTACTGTAAGTCATTCAGTCAGTCAGACCCTAGTCAGGCAGTGCTGTAAGTTATTCAGTCAGTCAGACCCTAGTCAGGCAGTGCTGTAAGTCATTCAGTCAGTCAGACTTTAGTCAGGCAGTACTGCAAGTCATTTAGTAGGTCAGACACTAGCCAGGCAGTACTGCAAGTCAGTCAGTTGGTCAATATAAGTTATCTTTACCATATGTGTGGCCAAGAATGCATAAGTAAAGATTATCAAATGTACTAAGATGAAACAAAAAAACTCTTTTTATAAAACAAATTGATTTGTATCATAGTTGATCATTAAATAGCCCATTTCCGAATTACCCTTGGCCTCTTTTTCAAAACGAGGCCTGGTGCTCAACCCTTCTTGTGAAAATGAGTTTAATTTGTATGTGAATGAAAACTTATTTATAGGAAAGGATAAGCACCAGGACTCGTTTTGAAAACGAGGCCAAGGGTAATTCGGAAATGGGCTATTTATTTAACTGTTTTTCTGGTTATTTTGTGTACAGCTGTTGAAAATACCATCAGTAGTGATGAAGATGAGGAAATAATTGGACCAACTCTGCCTACTGCCAAAGTAAATACTTTGAATGTCAAATGAGTGGATTCAACATAGAATGCTTCAACATGATTTTAGTTGATTTTTATACAATTTACAGGACATTGATGTTGGACTTGAAAGAACCAAAATGGACATAGAGGCACGCAGTATGGCAAAGAAGGACCAGATGACAGGGAAGGTACATGAAAGTTTGGTAGTTCTGAAGTATTTGCTCTTGGAGGCACAGATGTCCAACTTTAAGTGCCAAAAGGGAAGGAAACTGAGCTGGCTCCCTTTAGTATGGGGGTGGTAAAGACTTAAGGCCTGTGGGGTGTAAATCTTGTTGCCCTACCCTCTAAACCCAGGACTCTTATCACGCAACCTTCACTTCAAAACACTGAAGATTCTTAGGGACCTTAAGCAACCACCACGGCGACGGCAACGAGGACGTGGAAAAACAAGAGATCTAATTGGTAGAACAATAGCTCAGCACGTGCGTTTTGAAACTTTGTACATTTCTTAGCTGACCTATGCAAAACAACAACGTGAAATCGCCAAAATTTGCGTCGTCTGCGAACCGAAACCGCAATGGCAAATTCATTCAATTTCCATTTGGAACTCAATGCTACTTCTACATGTCATGCTGAAGTTGAGCTGTGGCGCTGTATGAGACAGTAAGCTCATGCAGCCATTTTTGAAATTCTGACTAAGAGTAGAAATTCATTTTTTAATCGAAGTCTTCCTTGGTGTTGCCGTCCTGACTGCTTAAACACGAAGGCACGCTATAAAGGGAGCCTTAGGTCCCACTGGACCATTTGCCAATCAACCGTCGTGTGATGTAGAACTCTTAGAGTCAAGTCAGCTTGAGCTACAGCTACTCCAAAGCAGTGAGCACTGGGCGCATTCCTCAAAATTGTTTTATGTCTTCATGGCAATACAAGAATTTTTGAGATTTGTATTTCCTTTCTCCAATGGAAACTGTCTTCATATGTGGCGGTAAATTTGAGATTGAAGTAGGTGGTTTGCACGTTACCTCTTGCCACCATGCTGGTGGAAGTAAACAATAGACATCTCATTAGCTCCTTTTGTTCGTCTATCAGCATTTAAATTTGACCTGCACATGTCAACGGTGAGTGACAAATGAGCCTAGGTCTTCCCAGGGAAGACTTCCTTATATAGTGTGCCTTCGTGTTTAAGGTCCCTATTGGCTGATGTGAAAGGAAAAACAACAGCAAAAGCATGTAGTTTGTAGTTTTTAAGTTTGCATGGATTCTGAGTTTCAAAGGAACATGTTTGTGTTTCTCATTTCTCTTATACCTCCTGTCTACTTTAATTTCCCATTTTTACCCTCCTTTCTTATTCCATCCCCTCCCTCCTTGTGCTTCTCTCCCTCCCCTCCCTTGCACTTGGTTCCCACTATTGTATATGTAGGAAACTGCTTTTGCTAAAAGTTTTTACATCAATTTTATAGGATACCAAACCTAAGCGAGAGACTTGGATGACAGAGCTGCCTCCAGACTTGAGCAAGAATTTTGGTGAGTTAGTTTGAATTTGAATAATTGATTATGACATTCTCTTGCAATAGTACAGTTCTTAGCTTTGTGGGAAGCCTTAGCTTTATATTGGAAAGTACACTCTCTTCTTACTCTATGTAAAATTAAGGAATGTTCTTCATTGAACACAAGCTTCATTTTTAATAGTGGGTGTTACAACATTGTTTTCTAGTTTTAAATCTTGGTTTATTTTTCTATACAGGTTTGGGGCCCCGCAAGTTCCGTGCTCGTGCTGTTGAAGTAGGTGATCAATCGGTTTGGACAGACACTCCAGCAGACAAGGCCAAGAAGGTACATTATAAGGAAGATATTTACATTTTGTCTGCCCCGTGCCCTTTGACTCCCTTCTCTCAACCTTTTTCAAAAACAGTGCAGGTTAATAATGCAAAAGGTTTGGATATTTCTTTTTTTTTTCTTGCTTCTTGCCCCTGTGAAGTATCTACTTCCTTCGGTTTTCTCCTCCACCTTCCAGACCTCTCTTGCCCTGCCTATCTTTTCAGCCCCTGGTAGCCTGCTACCATGGTGTGGCTGGTGTCCTATTCCCCTCTGCCAGTTTCTATATGATTAGTCAAATTAATTTGAAATATAGTTTCCTGCAATTTGAGCACTGGATTGGTTTAGTGTGTTCTATAAATTAAAGCAACAGAAGTTTTAGTCATTCAGTCATTCATCTAACAGTCAAAGGAGGCTGACAAAGGATCAAAAAGAGGAGTTGATACTGATGAACCTGTTAGGACTCCTTGGGAGATCGCAAGAGATCAACAGATGACCAAGCAAGTGGAAAGTCACAATGTGAGTGGAGATCTTTTGGTGAATTACATTTCAGCTGATTAAATATTTCTCCAGTTGCCAATTTTCTGAGTCTGATGTAAGCATTGTGACCAGAAGCTAATAAAAGTCTGCAATATCCGTTAAGTAATATTCACTCAGTCATGTGGAGTGTGATATTAAAAAATCCCTTTGAAGCAGTTGCAGTTACATGTACATAGAATAATTGTATTTTTTTACATTCAGAAGCGACACAGGGGAGAATCATTGATGGATATGCATACGAAGAAAATTGAAAAACAAAAGGTGGGCAAGTACCTCAAAATGGTACAATTATCTTTTCTGCAAGTTTTTGAAATTTATTTTATTTGCAATAGTAACAACAGAAAATAGCAAGCAGTGGGTTGGCATCTAGTTCTTGATCAAATAATTAGTTTCTTCTTTTAAATAACATTCCTAAATAAATTGACAGAATGAGGATAAAAGCAAACCTTCTGAACGAAGACCATTTGATAGGGACCAAGACTTGAACTTACCAAGAATGACTGGCGAGCAAAAGAAATCTGTTATCCAGAAGTCCAAGGAACTTGGTTCCAGGTTTCAACATTCCAGAAGTGGTTCCTCTTTCCTCTGAGTGGTGTAAGATTTGATGTAAAAGTCTTCCTGCTCATCAGACTATGCATTGTACTTGTTGATAGAAGCCATGAGGTCGTGATCTGAACAACACAGTTTTTTGCAGCAGTATTAATTGTAACAAAATACTCCTGTATGGAGTGAGACATTCTTAGAGTAACTAAAGCCTGCATCGAGACTGCTTAATCTAAGGTCTAATACAGTAAATTTCACATTAGCCATAAGCACCTTACTAGAATAAGAAATTTTTATTTTGCCTTTTTGCTATAGGTGTACACGGATGTCCCACACATTCAAATACTTACATAATTCCCAGCTATTGTGCACTCTCTGTTTTCACCACCGTTACAACATTTTAGATGATGCTTCCAACGGTGTTTAACCCACAAAAACTCATCACCTGCGACATGTCAATTTTTAAACTTTCTCTGTAACCTTACATTGTCATGTTTCCTTTCGTGTTGATACCAAATATAATTACCCCACTATTACATCATATTTCCATATTAGGGCAATGGAATACACAAAATATGCCAGAGAATACACTGTAGAACAGGGCAAAATCAATGTGCATCAACTTTGATTTCTTTCGTGTTTTTTTAGAAATGCTTTTATTAGTAACGAATTTCAAACCCTTCAAGAATTTTTTTGTTCATCAAGAACACTAGATGGTTCCTTTTGTGTTGTTTTCTTTTTTCTCACATGCCTTATGCAACTGGTATGATGCTCAGATGAGTCCATAAGAAGTTTCAAAACTAGAAAATGGAATAACAGAGGAATAATAAATCTCTTATTCAATGGCCGAACAGATAATATAAGAGGACATTTTGCTCTTACTTTTTTCATCCCTAGAGGGCTTGGAAAAATACTTTGCAACTTGCAAAGTATCTAAACATATATACCATTGAATAAAATGTTAATTGCATGCATTATGTGCAACAACTGTATATTCAACATCCTTTTTTCTTTTCTGATAATTTATACTGAAAAATGTTTCAGACCACAAATTTTGTCTTTTCTTGATTAAAATTGTAATGTATCTACAAGAAATCACCCAATGAAACGACTCCATTTTAATTTGTTTTATTTTCAATTGTCTAAGGCAACTGTCTTTAGTTTTTGTCTTAGATGTAACAAGCAAGTTTTCATACTCTACATAAAAATAAAAGAACAAACCAATTGAAAGGAAATAATTACAAACACACACCCTGCTCTCTGGTACCGTTAATGAATTTTGAATTCAAAACCAGAACAAAAAAAAACACTGAAGATCATAACAGAAAGTTATAATCATCCAAATGCAAAAAAAATCCATTGCATTTTACTTCTCAATCCCAAGATCTAATCAGTTATTCTCCCAATTAAACTGTAGCTACTAGACATTTCCTTGGTGAAGGTACATAGAACAGTCTTTCTACTCCAATAAACTTAACCCCTGGATGTTTTGAAAATTTTGGGAGAAGTTACGTTTTGTGGAAGTGAAAGAATGAAAAGACATACATACCAAGAAATACATCATCTGTTATTCCCAACAGAGAACTAACAAGTGGTGGATCATTTTTAGGACCACCGCCCTTGCGATCTGACTTGTGAAACTGATAGGTTTAGGACAAACTGGGGTGACAGTGCATGTCTGTCACACCATTGTGTTTACTTTAACAAGATCCTTGGCATAAATGCGAACACATGAATAGGAATCCATTTGTAAGGACCATACCATGGTGAGAGGCTGGATTGACTAAGGAATGTTTACTGCTTATAATCAACTAGTTAAATAAAACAAAAGCTGGTTTTACCAGCAAAACTTTATAAATAACATACCGCTCAATTCAAAAAAAAATAATTTGCATCTACAGGCATAAAATTTTGAATAATTTTACACTTGGCTTGGAAAATCTAACATCTACATATATTACAAAAATAAAGCAACATCAATATTTTAAATATTGAATCATTAAAAAAAAACAAAAGAATGCAGTGCAGCTCTCAAAAAACATCTCAAAATGAAATTGTGAAGTGTTAAAAGATTTAAATGAATGATAAGTTCCACAGACATTAGACTTGAGGAATAGCGGGGTTGCAATGCGTTTGTTTCAAGAATATTTCTAAAACCAAACACAAAACAGAATGAAAACAGAATGACAATGGAAAAATCAATTATTATAAAAAAGGAAACTGAATATTGTTTGTACTATGCTTCACTAATGATCATGAACGAAATGCAGGGGAAAAAAAATGTTAAAAGGTTTTGCCAGGAAAGACTTCACATTTCCTGTCTTCCTTTGACAAATCTCCACTGATTACAGAACAGTCTTCAGTTTTAAACCAGTCCCACTCTTGACTAACATGTCAATTTCATGCACACCCCCTGTAACCATTCACTATATAAAAAAAAAGATTCTAAGATACAATAACCAAAACGAGCCCTATTTATGTAAAATCAATTTTGTTGTTGTGTACTTTAAGTTTATGATTGGCTAGGAATCTTAAGAACTGCACCTATTAAAAATTTTGGTACCTGAAGTACATATTTGTTTTACAATGAGAAAGAGCAAGTGCTTATTTACTACCAGAGTATTGCACTTGAACCTGAGGTAAATTTTTCCTCTACATGCCTTTCAAAATCAGACTCAAATTATTGTTTGGAATGCTATAATACAATTATCTGTAGTGAATTGTAATGTGAAAATACTGTTTTGAAGCACACACCTGTGCTAAATTGACAAGCACTTAAGCTTTTTTTCAAAAGTTTGCTATCTGTCCCCCCTCTCTTCCCCCCCCCCTCCTAAAAAAAAAAATGAACTGGATAAACTGATTTGAGAGAAAAACAAAATAACCCATAATTAGTGGAATGTTTTTCCTTAGGTAAACATAAAATACCCTTCACTCTGTAAGACAATTTCTACACAGTGACTATTTTCTACTCTAACAAAAGACTGAAAAGGAAATCAGTTTTTCTCTTAAATTTGTTTCCTTTTTTTTTTATAGAATATTTCATAAAAGAAACAGGTACCATTTAAAAAAGCCACTAAACCACAACAGAAAGACATGCAAAACAAATACATTTGTTAGCTGTAAGTCTGAAGGAAGTAAATTCATAAACTAAAAATATATAAAATTATTTACTGAAAAATAAATACATTAATAATGTAAAGGAAGAGTTTAAGCTCCTTGTTATGAAAATCAGTACAGGTGATATTGTTGTAGAGGGTCGAACAAAAATGAAATCTCATTCAAATTGAAAATGTAACAACAGCAACCTTTAGTTTGTTCTTTTCCTAAGGCATCCTGGCTTAATTCCTTGGAAGAATTTGTCTAGTGTGTGAGATTACATTTTATACAGAAAGGAAGGAAGTTTTTATGGATTGCACTCCTGAAGTGACCCTTTTGACAGAAACATTATGAACTGACACACACATTCTTCAGTACAAACATTGACTACTGTAAGATCAAATGACGTCTAAATGGATCAGGAGATTCTTGAGTTGGACCCCAAGGGCACTTCCTGAAAGAGGAACACAGATATTAAGTTAGAAACAGTGACCATAACAATTTTATCACTATCAGACAGTACACATGTACAATTTGTTAAAAATTTTGGATTAAGGCCTATTCAAGTGAATATTAATTTCTATTAATATAAATCTAGACTTCAATAAATGAGAGGTCTAGACTGGGTACAGGCAGTTTTCTTATTAGTCCTTTCCTAAAGATTGAACAATTTGTTCAACATACATGCAAGTCATAAGACACTCACTTGCTTCCATGTCTGGTCAGTCTATGTGTTATTTTCCTGTGCTGTTTGTGTTCTTGTTCTAAGCTGATGATATGTGAACGGATGTCATTAATGGTTTCCAACTTCTGTTTCCACATCTCCTGGGTTGTTCCTTCGACAGTGCAGTTTTCACTTTGACTCTCACATTCAACTGGAATAGAAAAACATTGTTTTGGCAATAGAAACAACAGAAAAATGAAAACTGTTCCATTAGTTCTCTCTGAGACTTATACTGAAAGTAACCTTTGAAGATTGATCAATGTCCAAAATAAGAAATTGAGCACATAAAGTTTTGTTAGAGGAGACAACAGAAAAAAAAAATTAAACACAAGGTGAAAGAGAGCACTAACTGAGAGGGTGAAACAAAGTGGCTTTGTTGAAAACATTGAATGAGCTTGAAGTACCTGTTACACTGGTTCTTATGAATAAAGCTTGACTTATTTAATCACAAAAAAAGCACACAAGATGAACTTACCTTGTAATTCATCCAACTTTTCCAAGTTTATTAAAAACAGTGAGTGTATTCTTTCGATCTCTCGATCACAATCTATAGCTACATTTACACATTTAGGTTGAGGTACTCTAAACAAAGAGAGATGGAAAGTTTGATTTTATTATTAATAGCAAAACATTTCTGGGTCAAACTCTCCTCAGCATCAAATGGAAACAAGGATACATTTTTGAATGAGGAGAAAGTGGCAGTACTAATTTTAAGCAAACTAATGAAGCTTCCAACAATTTCATTAATACAAGGTGGCACATTCTGTTGATTGTGACATAGTTTATGCAGTGATTCATTTACCAGTGCATTCCAAGACCTACATTAACTTTTATTTCTTAAATTAAGTAGTGTTAAATTGTGGGTGTTTCCAAAACTAAGACTTAAGGACACCCTTCTCACATCAAATGATATTCTGTCCACACAATGCATTTTGGGTTGAATTGACTACGTACCAAGAAAAATTGGAATTTTTACTTTTGGAGGGGGGGGGAGGGCGTTATTAATGCAGGAAACTTAGATCAAGGTTTTAAGAAATGTATCTCTGAGGTTATTTTCAGCAAGAGAGAAAGTGTACTTAAAAACAAAGGAAATAGTGTGAATGCACAAAGAAGAAAACAATTTATTGCAATGGATGTTGTGATGTGACAAGAAAGTCCTTCCATGAAAACTTCTGTAGATCAACCTGGATCCAATTCATCCCAATTAGTTGAGAATTGCAAACTTTGATCACAAATTTGGTCCTCTTTCATTAATTGTTTAATAAGACAAAAAAACAAATTTAACTGTCACAGTATCTAGGAGGGATATAAATAAATAATTATATAATGATGATGATAATAATAGTAATAATAATAACAAAAATAATAATAGTGCAGTATCACAAAAGAGCATAAAGAATTGCTTACTCTGTTATTGGTGAACATCCTGATGCTTTTTCTACCCGCTCTTTACAACTACAAGAGTAACAAAAATCAGTTCAAACAAACAGTCACAGAATTCTTTTCTCCTGTAACATGAGAGAAATTTTGCTCTTACCATAGCCATTTACCACATACAAATGCTTCTGGATGATATTTTTTAACTCTGTATGGGTTGCTTTGACAAACTTTACGCAGTGCTCGAGTCCTACAAAGAATAAGAACATGATCATTGACTAGGGGACAATTGCATTTAGTGTTGAGGCTACAAGAAGATACAAGTTGTATGCACTAGGGTATTTACTAATTGTTTTTTTTAATCAGGAGTTTTGAGAAATAAATGAATAAATAAGTAAATTGAATAAATAAAAGATAAATATGGGCAGAGCAGTACTAGTGGCTCTTTGTCCACTGCTTTCTACATCAAATTGGAATTAAGAGTTTCATCTTTTTGGAGGGAGTGAGGACCAAGACAACAACCAACAACAAACTCAACCCACATGTAACGTCAGGTCTGGGAGTTGAACCCAGACCACAGCGGAGGGAGGCAAATGTTCTCACCACTGTGCAATGCCTGCTCCCCTCTGTGGCTCCTAATAATACTTTCCTACACTCTGATAGCTGAAGTGATAACCACTACCTTGGTTTTGGTTTAATGAAACTCAAGAGCTATAATTTAGATATACTTCATCGAAATGAGCTATCTAATCATTTTCTTACCATTCCCTTTCCTCTACTGTGTTGCTCGCCTGTACGTACAGCTGTCTATCAGGCTGTATTATTTGTACCATCTGTGTGAAAAGAAAAGCAACAAGGATTAGGAGAGCTGCAGCAAATGTAACACAGGCAGCATAAAAGGATTTTTACCACAAATGGCAGTGTTGTGTTGTTGCAATCTGATTGGCCAATTTACCATCGTTGATTAGAGTGCAGACAACACTGCTTGCATCAACGCACCAAGCAACATGTTACGCAGTGAAAGAATTGTTTTATCTCACATTGATATTGTAGTAAAAACAAAGCAACAGTGGTTTAGCCTAGTCTGTACTCATAACAACAATGATAATCATCATCAGATCAGAATTTGTTGCAGACTCAATCGGCTGTACCTTGAGAGTCCACAACATTTTGACCACTGGTACTATAATGATGAATATTAAACAACAAACATATGAAATACATATATATGAACTGCGGTTATGAAACGTATATGTGGTAGAGCGCTGCACTAGTATCGCAGAGGTCAGTGGTTCGAATCCCATACAGGCCTGAATTTTTTTCAGGTCTGATTTTCACTATTGCCTAAATAGTGCTTTACTGCGAAGGATCGTGCACATATAAATGATGAATATTGTTGTTGATGAGAGCACAGCCCATGCTAAACCACTATTGATTTGTTAAAAAGGGATTCCTAACACCATGTTTTGAAATTAAAATTATAGTTGTTTCTCAGTCAAATAAAAGAAAGGTGATGAACACAGAGTACTGCATAATAAAAGTCGAGCATCACAAGCCAACTCTACACGAGGAGAGTGTAGTGCTCTTTTCTTATAGGTATCCTTAACAAATATCCTTAATAAGAAAAATGACAATTCAAAGTAATTTAATGCTCTGTTGATGTGTAGCCAAAAGTATTTTTCATATCAATGAAACATCAAATTACGGGCAGCATAAAAGAGATACAAGGACTATTCAGGACAAGGCAATAGAGTACAAAAGCAAACAACAAATAACACAAAACACAAAGAAAACAAACCAACCAACCAGTTTTAAGTGAAAAGAGTCTTCACCCAAACTTTCTGCTCCCAAGATGTCACAGACAGGTATGTGGCCAAGAACTGGCTTAGTTTTGTCTTTGGAGTATGAAAGGCCTTTGTTGGTTAAAACAAAGAATCTCTTCTTAAAATTTTTGAAGCCTAGTCTACTTCGTCCTTGTGCTCTCTTTACTAACACCCTGATGAAATAAACAAGAAAAGTAATTAACTAAGCACTAGGTACAACTCAGTCCTCTTGAAACTATAATTTCAATCAATAAAACACAAAGACCAGCAAAAACCAATGATAAAAACCAACGTTTCGGTGTCATCATGACGCCATTGTCAAGGAGAAATAAAAAATAAAGTTTGTGGCAAGGTGTAACACTAAATTAGCATAAATATGTTACGAGCTAATTAAACAACATATTTATGCTAATTTAGTGTTACACCTTGCCACAAACTTTATTTTTTATTTCTCCTTGACAATGGCGTCATGATGACCCCGAAACGTCGGTTTTTATTGTTGGTTTTTGCTAGTCCTTGCATTTCTAAATCTTTATAAAACACAAAATGAGAAAAATCAATAACCTGACATTTGTATCACTCACCCTTCCTTGAGAACAATTGTTGAATCTACAGGTAGTCCTTGTGCTCTACTGGGTGAGGAAATGATCTCCAAGAACTGAGAAACAACAGCAGAACAAGTTCACATATCATATACAAAGCAAGCATCCTCTCACTTATCACTTTGAACTGGTGCTTTAATTTTCTGAGCCGTCCAGAAAGATTTTGGTATAACTGGATACGAAGCTTTCTGAATCCAAGATTATAGTGACCACACATTTTCTGATTATGTAGATGCCTAGCATACACTCACTGAATAATACACACAACAAAAGGTTTGCAAAAATTTTAGGTTTGACAATTTTTCTTCTACCTTTTTATAAAGTGTTGTCTTTTATTCTAAAAGAGAATGATTGAGTTCTGAAATGAATCACCGTGTATCATTTACTTAATAAATAAGGTTTTTTGTTTTGTTTTAATAGCAAAAGACTCTTTACATATGATGTACAATCCTCGCAGTAGATAGCGCTATTTAAGCAATAGCGAAAATCAGACCTGAAAAAAAAAAAAAACCGGGCCTGTACGGGATTCGAACCACTGACCTCTGTGATACTAGTGCAGCGCTCTACCAATTGAGCTAACAAGCCAACTGGGAGCAGGCCGTTAAGTTGATTTGTAATAAACCCGTGAAAATGATAAATGAGATACAATGAAATATATTTAAGTTGGTTGTTCGCTGTTGATGTCAGTCAATATTAACCTGGTCCAGGCTCTCGTATCATAGACAAAATGAAAGATCTTCCATTAGTGGACAAAATGGCAAATCTGCCACTAGTGGCCAAAATGGCAAATCTTTCACTAGTGGCCAAAATGGCAAATCTTCCATTAGTGGACAAAATGGCAAATCTTCCACTAGTGGCCAAAATGGCAAATCTTCCATTAGTGGACAAAATGGCAAATCTTCCACTAGTGGCCAAAATGGCAAATCTTCCATTAGTGGCCAAAATGGCAAATCTTCCACTAGTGTCAGTCAGAGGAAACAGGAAACAGGAAACAAGAGGATCAGAAAAAAAGGAAAAAAAATGGCATTTTGACCTGAACTTTGCAGAGGCTGGTAAACACCAAATATAAAAACACACTGCAAAGACTAGATACCCATAAACAAACACACAACTTACTCTTTTGACAGCTGTTATATGTTCCTGGTCAAGAATAACTGACTTCAATGTTTCCATGTAAGGCTCCTTCACCTGTCCACACTGTTCCACATGGTAAATACAATGAAAATGTATGCATTAAAAATTTAACATTGGTTCAGTTCTATTTAACAAGTCAACAGACTGAGTGTTTTAGCCTGGTCTGTACTCCTATCAGGGCTTCTGAAATTTCGCGCGGTTGCGGAGCTGTGAAATTCAGGTAAATCCATGAAATCCCACAAAATTGACAAAAACATGCAAAATACTGCGAAATTTGCTAGAAATTCTACCAAATACATGTCGGCACAACATATTTTTAACTTATTTTGGCTATTGGAGCTGTTTACTTACTGTAAACTTGAAAATAACTACCAGGCGTTCTTATATTAATGTTGCGAAAACCTGGGCACTGGCCGCAAAGTAAAAAGCTTTGCCATTGTTGCATTTCTGGAGCATATCCTTGGTTTTCTTGTCGCTAGAAACATTAACAAGTACAGTTGTCTTTGGAACTGTGTTATAAGAACTTTTATGATTCTTTCTTGCTCTGAATTTGACATCCTTCCCATGTGTTTCTTAGAAATCTTTCTTTTTTGCTTTCATGTTTGCTTTTCAACGAAAATTTTCCCAGAAAATTCCCGGAAAATCGGCCGTTTTCTCCGCAAATTTGTCTCTTCAAATCCCACCAAATTTCTTTTTTTTTTCCCGCGAAATTTCAGAAGTCCTGTCCTATTGACAAAGATATTTGTCATCATGGTAGTCAGAATGTTGGGGACTGAGTGAGTCTGCAAAAATTCCACATTCCACATGATTTTCACAATTATGAGTCACTCATGTTGATGCAAACAGTGTTGTCTGCACTCTTATAGAGAATGGTAAGTTGGCCAATCAGATTGTGACATTACCACAAATTGTGGTAAAATAAAAGATTCATTGGCATACAAGTTAAATGCACCTACCAGCACAGAACTCACAACATTCCCTAAACTCTGGATGGCTTTGGATATAAGTGTAAGGGTCCTTGCTGTTTGTGCATCCTGAAAAATCAAGACAGAATGGATTGATGTAATCAAATTTGCTACCTAACTACAATACTTTTGAAAAAAAAAATTAAAATGGGAAACTTAATAAGTACTGGAGATGTCAAGTGAAGCTTCTTAGAAGAATAAGCAGTTTTGGGATTAACTGCAGCTAGCTTTGCTTAATTATTAACGGTTTAAATTACAGGTCAATGCTACTATCTGAGTAACTGTGCATCCACCCACCCCTCCCTTAACTCAAGAACAGTCATTACTGATGACTAAAGTTAAAGTGGAGTTAGGGGAGGGGTGGGTGCATGGTTGCATATGAGATACTGACATTGATAATTGTAATTCAGAATTGTAATTATTACAGATCACAAATTGCTCACCGGGTGCTCATTTCTCATCTGAAATAATTTAGGGTTTAAAATAGCAGGTGCAAAGAATCTCAGGAACACAAATCCACTCACTGACGTGTAACAAACATCTTCATCACCTGAATCAATGCAAAATAAAACAACATGTATGTTCATGAAAAATCAATTAATCAGAGACAATTATAAAAAAAAAAAGGAAACATGTCCCAGCTCCTTTTATTCAGCCTGGTTATCATATCATTCATTTGTGTTAACCCTTTCAATTAACTCCCATGAGTAATTAACATGAAACTCCCCCCTATAAGCCAGCAAACAGGTAATGAGGATTCTCAAACTTATCAGTAGAATTTTTTAACTTGATCTAACATCAAATTCTCATTACTAATTACAAAAAAATGTGTGGCAGCTTGAGAGAATTGATAATCAGATCTTAGGAGTGAGTGGGTTTAATTGGTGCATCAGGAACTTTTCAATGTGGACAATTCATAAAGTCATAGTGGAGTTCAATTACTTGGAAATTTTCTGACAGCTGCTTCTCTTATGGCGTGGAATACTTGACACATTACAGTTGGACACGCCATGGCAGAACATGTGATAGCTGCAAATAATCTATTTACATAGCTCCTCAGATGAACCTGCATAAAGAAAAACAAACAATCAAATCAAAATTAGCCCTAGATCATCCATTTGGGATTTAGTGATAATAGTACTGTAATTTCCGGCTGTTTACCCGCACGGCCAATTACCTGCACTGGCCGATTATTGCATACGACGAAAAAAAAAGTCAACAGATTACCCGCACTGGTGGATAACCCACACCTTAAAAGCAAAGAAAATTTGTACACAAAGGCTCTAGAATTCACAATGTTTCACACTCGACAGAATGTGAATTCAAGGCCACATTTTGTGCGAGTGATCGTTCAACGCCATGTTGACTTGTTGATTTCTCAAAAAATCCCTATCTCCAGTTCTACTGGGTTTAACAAGTCCCTTAAAACGGGAAAATCTCTTCAGCTCAAGCTAGTGTTAACTGGAAATTAATTTTGTTACTGATGTGCTGGATACCCTTGGATTTTTTTTGTCACCATCAAGGTTTTGTTTACACGTGTGCCAATAAAAATTTGTTCGTCGCGCAACTAATTGTGCATGAAATAAACTCGAGTCAGCATCATGTTTTCGTACCACTTTGTGGCACTCTTAATACAACAAAATTCATTTGAGAGGTGGAAACTGAGGGAGGTAAGAATTTTTTTCAGTTCAACTACTAGTAGATTTCAAAATTGTCACATAACCCGCACCTCTCTATTACCCGCAGTGGCGTGTGTTTAAGGCAAAATCAACAGATTACCCACAGGTAAATGGCCGGAAATTACGGTACATGTAGGGTTCTATCAAAGAGCTGACAGCTGACAAACTACGTACACCACTGTGTTTCTTTGCAGGGTTTTCTGGCTGCTAGGAAAACATAAATCTTTTGCACATTACAAAACTTAATACACTGACCCTCTCAGGAATGAACAAAAATGAATTCCTACTTACAATATCAATACATCTTTGAGTAGAATAGCAATGAGGATGATAAGAAAGTATTAAATAAGAGATACTATTTGATTCAAAACCAAATTCCAGAGCTAAAATATAATTATTATTATTATAGGAAATGTGTAGCAGACAAAATTAAGACAAAGAATCGATTTGGATCTTGGGAGTAAGATGATTATGGTTTCCAATATCTTAAAACTTACAATTCCTTTTTATACTGTCCACTATACACTTGTTTAAGTGTTAGCTCTGAGAATTCTGCTTCCTATGTACAATGATTGCAATACGTGATATAAATTATTATTTTTTCATTCTCATAATCAACAGACAATACAAAGACTGAAAATGAGAGTTCCCCTCAATAACTCACCAAATTTGCCTCAAGTGATTCTCCTTCTCTCAGCTTTGCTGGGTCAATTTCACACCTTTTGTGGTCATCATAAATCTGGAAAAGAAGACAAAATTTACACAATTGATGCACTTAGCACACACAGCTGGCCATTCTCACAACCAATATGTACCGTAGATTGTAGGCCAATGAAGTTACAAGTTATTCAAGATCCATATGAATTGTGAGTTTTCAAAAGCACATTATTTAATAGACTCACTTCATCTATGAGGCATTTAATGGTGTCATGAAGATAATACATGCCAGCATGTTTCATGAACTCATCAACAGACTTGGTTGCTACAGAATTGCCTCGGAAAAGTGTATTGGAATCTCTGAAAAAAAAGAAAACAGCAAAATATCTTTGTGAGAAAAAAACTACACATATTTATCTAAATTATAGGCAGTAAGTATACCTGTACATGCTTCTGACCTCCAATTAATTCAGCACTGCATTTACTTTGGGTTGGCATTTATTGGTAATTCTTTCTTCCTTTTCTGCCTGCAGCATTATTCTGACTATCAGTAATTATTAACTATCATTATTTCTAGGGCAACCTTTCACTGACTTCAAACAGTACTTCTTGTGAATTCATCATTTTGTCATCTTTCAAATTTAGCTTTTAGTCTGGGAACAAGTCATGATACTCACTTTGTACTTAGGACTTCATGATCTACAACCAGCTTAATGAAATCTACAACCTAAAAGGAACAAAATAATGCAAAACAACTTAAATTAAAGAAATGAAATAGAGAGGACACAGAGGACAAAAGTGTTTTTCTTTTCAGGGAGTAGCCTAAAGGTTACTGCCTAGAGTACCTCTTGTTACTGCCTTATTCTTGAAAATTCAACAGCTAAAAGCCTAAGGTTTGCCTTATTGGTGTGAAAATTTATTTTACCTGTCGTGCTTGAAGTAAGGGAGAACCCTGCATTTGAGTACTCTGTCAATTTAACCCTCTCCTTAACTCTTTAACTCCCAAGAACTTTTTGTCAAATCTCCCCTTCTAGCTGCTACACATTTCCTTGTAAATTAGTTAGAGAATTTGGCATTACATCAGGATAACAACTACCTGGTAAGTTTGAGTTCTCTCATTACCTGTTTGCTGGATAATGTATGGATATGATAAGGAGAAATTTCATGTTAATCCCTTGTGGGAGTTAATTAAAGAGTTAATTAAGAGAAAAATAAAAACAGCAAACCTGATTATGGTGAGAGAACACTCTGACGAGAGACTTTGCCACAGTAGCTTTATCTTTAACTATATCACCAAGAATGTGGGCTGCTGTTGTCTGCACGTCCTATTGGATGCAAGGTTACCTCATTATACATAATGAACTTTGTATTTCAACACACAAATCCAACATGCCCATCTTTTTACCTGCCCATCTTTTATAGCCAAAATTGTCTCCCTCAGAGGATCATAAAAACTTGAAGGAAATACATGATCTTGAGTGTGAGTAACTCTGAGCCTCAGCGAGCCTATATCTTGTTTCACTGGGAGGTCATTCTTCTCCTCACGAGGTCCAAGCCAGTACCTTGCAGGAAAAAGAGACAATATAATATTAATAGAAAACCTGTATTTCTCCTGTTCAAAAACATGATATCTTAATTTAAGAGAAATGTCTAATATTACATATAATTATCCATAATTTCCGGCCGTTTACCCGCGGGTAATCTGTTGATTTTGTCTTAAACACGCGGAACTGTGGGTAATAGGGAGGTGCAGGTTAAGTGACAATTTTATCTACTGGCAGTGGCATTGAAAAAATTCTCACCTACCTGCGTTTCCACCTCTCAGATGAACTTTATTGTATTAAAAGTGCCACAAAGCGGCACGAAAACATGATGCTGACTCTAGTTTATTTCACACACAATTAGTTATGCGATGAACAAATTTTTATCGGCACGCATGTAAAGAAAACCTTGATGATGACAAAAAATAATCCAAGGATAACTGGCACATCAGTAACAAATTTCCAGTTAACACTAGCTTGAGCTGATGAGAATTTTGTTAGGCCCAGTAGAACTGGGAAGATGAGAGACCCTGGGAATGAGGTTGGCGCTGAACGATTGCTCGCACAAAATGTGCCCACGAATTTGAATTCCATCAAGAATGAAACGTTGTGAATTCTAGAGCCTTTTTGTATAAATTTTCTTTGCTTTTAAGGTGTGGGTTATCCACCAGTGTGGGTAGTCTGTTAACTTTCTTTTCGCCGCATGCATTAATCGGCCGGTGCGGGTAAACGGCCGGAAATTACGGTAATGATGATGTCAGTGTAACAAATGCACTAGCAACATTTCTCAAAGGTTATATACCCAAACCATACATTTTATTCTTAACCAGTGGTTTCTGAAACAGAATTAAATTACACTAAATCTAACAACTGATGATAAATTACCACATATGAAAAACCTAGCAAAATGAGACCTTAAAACATACCCGACAGTTTGGATTTCTAGAGAGACACGAGACACAGCAATTTATGAACATATATACAACGACAAACTACATAATATTAATGAAAATTTCTGCACAAAAACTAAAATATATACTGACATGAGGGGACTGAACCCTACTTTGTGGATGGACTGCTGGTCCTTAAAATTTGTTGTAACAGTCAGTGAAGAGTACCTACCATCCTTCATGCATTGAAGACAAATCACATTTACTCAGAGGAACCCTGACCTAGAGTATATGGAAAATTAGTGAAACTTCACTCAGTACGAACTCTTGTTATGTACAAAATTAAGAATTTGTGAAGAAAAGGACTCATGGTATATACCAACACAACTAATTAACTCTTTAATATATCAAGTATAACTAACTCATCCAAGAAAGAAATTTAATACATGACTAGAACACAATGGGAGCTAGAGAAACATCCTTTGAACCAACCGTTGTCTTAAACTACTTACTTCTCCTAAGAAGATATCTTCCCCTATAAGACTGGCACTCCAGGCAGTGCACCTAAGGAAATTCAAAGATCAAAAGTATATTTTTTATCAAAGCTGACTTCACCAATTAATTCAGAACAAAAGATATATCCATGAAAAAGGCAATTTTATTCAGTGCACACCTCAAAACCAAGCTTTCAACATCATCATCAGGTATCTAATACAAAAAAAATTGAACCGCATTTAAAATGAAGTTTTTGAAACATGTAAATCTGGTTTCAAACCTTTGGCACCATGACTCGGATAAAGGGCAATGGAAAAATTATCCATGTATGATAACTATTGATCAAAATATCATTTATACATACTTCAAAGAGAAATGATTCTTCAAATTTTGGATTTAATGTTCTTTTCTTGACTTTGGTCTTTTTAGGCTCTGACCTGTAGAGAAACAGAGAAATCAAAATCAAAATAACTTACAAAAGATCTAGCCAAGGACAGAGATCTTAAGAGCTGTATTTTCTCATTGGTCTCGGCTAACAAATTTGGTAACTTTTAATTTACCTTAAGACAGGGCGTTGGCAGGTAATACTGACATAAGGATCAGAAAATGTGCCATTTCCATTACACCCATATAAATCAGTACATTCAACAACCCTACAAAGAAACAAAGAAACAAAGAAACAAAAAGAATGATAAGTGGTGCAAATATAACCTGGAATATCAGCCTCAGAGGTGCTGCTATTGCAAGGGAAGGTTACTGAGAGTTAGTGACTGAAAATATTCATTCTTCTAGAAATATTCTTTAATTCATCCATGACTTAAAATAACTACTACCAGTAACAATCTGAAAAAAAGCAAAATTTTATAAAAAATTAACTGGTTTAAATATCTTACATCCAAGAAAGATTACAAAAACTTTCAGTGCTTAATAACAATTTATAGTAAGTAACCAAATTCAGCCCAATTTTCAACATTATAGCTAGGACTACAAATACTGTTAAATAAATTCATTATGGTATTGAACAGAACTCGGTGTCCTCTATTTCAGGTAGTAATTGGTAAAATCCACTGTCACAGTGGTAGTTCCTATTGCAGCCAGAATTTTCTTTAAATTATTGGTCTACTGGTTTTAAAATTTTTTATACCTGTTATGCTTAAAATAAAGGAAGACCACTGAGAACTGATTTCATGTTGGGAAGAGACACATACTTAACACTTAGTTTGGGTGTGCTGGAGAATTCATCATCATCTGCATCTGATATAAATTCATAATGCTTGATTTCTATGTGTATCCTCCCTTGAACCTCAGTATCAGGTTCAACATGAACCAGAGGAAACCATGTATCTGACGGATAGTTATGAACACTTCCTTTCTTAATTGCAACCTGAAAAAGAATTACCAGCAACACTGTAAAGGGAAAAGCTCTTGGTTTCTGGATCATGAGATTTTCCTTGCAGGCCTTGCTTGTGAGCTGGGCTGGTCTATTAAAAGGGACTCAATCTTTTTTTCTGTTTAAAAGGAAAATTTTTTCTTAGTCACTGGGCTGATATTTTATACCCCAAAGCTGACAAAACAGATACTTCAAAGTGAGTGTATCCCAAATTTTTGAAGTTCCATAACCACAACCATAACCATAACCATAACCAAGAGAACACTCATATGGGAAATATCCAACAGGGTTATACACCAAATGCAAATATGGCGTCCAATTTGAGTTGCCATTGTTCTGGACTCACTAGCCTCTCACACATGTGATAATCCTTTTGTGTTTCCATGCAAAGATGAGACTAGTGAGTCCAGAACAATGGCAACTCAAATTGGATGCCATATTTGCATTTGGTCTATGGATATCACAACCCACGATGAGATCCTCTACAGATTTCCAGTTTCCCTTAGTTGCAAAATCTGGGATAGTCAGTACACAGTTAAACTCGTGATTATCTGGGATTTTGAAGACTCGTGAAAACCATTCTTTAAGACAGTGAGACCTCACTGTGATCACAGTATCTGTGTTTCCATTGTTCATGATCATGCACTCACAATCTGATTAAAGATGAATGATTACAGTGAACAGTCGTATATGAGAACGATCCTTCGCAGTAAAGCACTATTTGAGCAATAGTGAAAATCAGACCTGAAAAAAATTTCAGGCCTGTACGAGATTCGAACCACTGACCTCTGCGATACTAGTGCAGCGCTCTACCAATTGAGCTAACAAGCCAACTGGGAGCAGGCCGTTAAGTTGATTCGTAATAAACCCGTGAAAGTGATAAATGAGATACAATGAAATATATGAAGTTCATATATTTTGTACTGCGATATTAGATACATATGATGCACGATCCTCGCAGTAGATAGCGCTATTTAAGCAATAGCGAAAATCAGACCTGAAAAAAATCAGGCCTGTACGGGATTCGAACCACTGACCTCTGCGATACTAGTGCAGCGCTCTACCAATTGAGCTAACAAGCCAACTGGGAGCAGGCCGTTAAGTTGATTCGTAATAAACCCGTGAAAGTGATAAATGAGATACAATGAAATATATGAAGTTCATATATTTTGTACTGCGGTATTAGATACATATGATGCACGATCCTCGCAGTAGATAGCGCTATTTAAGCAATAGCGAAAATCAGACCTGAAAAAAATCAGGCCTGTACGGGATTCGAACCACTGACCTCTGCGATACTAGTGCAGCGCTCTACCAATTGAGCTAACAAGCCAACTGGGAGCAGGCCGTTAAGTTGATTCGTAATAAACCCGTGAAAGTGATAAATGAGATACAATGAAATATATGAAGTTCATATATTTTGTACTGCGGTATTAGATACATATGATGCACGATCCTCGCAGTAGATAGCGCTATTTAAGCAATAGCGAAAGTCAGACCTGAAAAAAATCAGGCCTGTACAGGTCTGATTTTTTTTCAGGTCTGACTTTAAATAGCGCTATCTACTGCGAGGATCGTGCATCATATGTATCTAATACCGCAGTACAAAATATATGAACTTCATATATTTCATTGTATCTCATTTATCACTTTCACGGGTTTATTACGAATCAACTTAACGGCCTGCTCCCAGTTGGCTTGTTAGCTCAATTGGTAGAGCGCTGCACTAGTATCGCAGAGGTCAGTGGTTCGAATCCCGTACAGGCCTGATTTTTTTCAGGTCTGATTTTTGCTATTGCTTAAATAGCGCTATCTACTGCGAGGATCGTGCATCATATGTATCTAATACCACAGTACAAAATATATGAACTTCATATATCTCATTGCATCTCAGTATTTAAATGGTTGCACATCCTATTTAACTATGCCCTTGAATCACACTTACCTTTCCTAAAACTGTATCCTTTCCTATAAGATCAGTGTCAAAAAGATAAAAACATAATGTCCTAAAGTCTCTTGGAACTTCAAAATGTACATCTTCACCAAAAAAAGGGCTGCAGAAAAGCAAAAAAAATAAGAAAATGTTACACATTATATAAAAGGAAGAGAATATTGATCTGTGTGTTCGCTAATTTCTTGAGAGCCACTCAGAATCACTGACAATCCTTGCTGTTTACTGTACAGTTTGTTCACAAATACAAATATTTTTTCGGTAAATTACACTCAGCCAATGAAACAGAACAATAAATTAACCAACCAGTCAGATTTCAGTGATGCAATTCATTCATAAATTGCACTCATTTATTTTCTTAGAAATCTCTTTTTTTGCTCATGGATCAATGGAGTAATAGTGCTGACATAAGGACAGTATTTCTTGATTTAAAAGTTTCATTTTTAGATGAAGGTAATAAAGTAGCAATGATATGTCTTGCCACACACTTTTGGACAGAAATCACACTTGTGATTCTAATTAGAATCTGTTTTGTGCTCACTTATTTATTTTGAATTGATACACCTTGTCATAGATTGTACCCCACTTGTTCCAATTTGTTTGAAACTAGCCAACATCTACAGCCCAGGAGTTTGGTGAACTACATAGTACTTGAAATCTCATGTTGAAAACTTTCATTAAAAAAAAAAGATTTTCAAGTAGCCAAGTTTGATCAAATGGGATCTCTATGAAATCCTCTTAGCCCAATTGTTACAATGAGGTATGATTTATCCAATCTTTCCAGAACTGAATCAATTATTCATGCTTTTGGCAGCATGACATTGTTCAGGATTTCAAAAGTGGGTTATCACCTCAAAAAAAATGTTCCTTTCAATAACTACCTCTGATTAATAAATTAAATAACACGGTGAGATATTTCACAAATTAAATTTTGCATACACCAAACAAAACTCGATTTCATTTAATACAAGCAAATGTCTAAATAATTTGACAAATGAAACATAATAAAAAAAAATACTACAACCAATTAGCGGGAAATAGCAAAATTGACATGTTCCCAAAACCTTAAAAATTAATGAACACTTGTAACAAAAATAAAACAATACACTCGAGTTTGAAGAGTGACATATATTTTACAAAAAAAAGAGTATGGCAACTCTTAGCTAAAATACTGCAATAAAACATTAACCAGCGTGTTTTTTTCACGAGGAAAGAAAGAGCTTTTGAACATTTTCATGCTCATTGCGTAATTTCTTCATTGAGCATAAAACCGGCCGGCGCTGATTTTATAATGAAGAGGAAAGCGACGATCCAATAAGGATATTTATCAAACAAACTTCAACATTATTATCTTCTTTTTGAGTTGGTTTAAAGTAGTTCTTACTAAAATGCTACTCTCTTAGACTAGTTGCTAAATGCGAGCGTAAATCAAATAAGTAGATACCACTAAATGACGTACGCACTATGTTCCCTATTTTCCATGACCAGGAAAAAATCCTCTCATGTTTTTTTTTCCCGCAATACAAGATAAAGGTCGACTTTTTTTTTTCTAAGATCCAAATGATTATTTAGACAGCGATGCGAATGAAATTTCCATGTGGAAACGAGACTTGCTAAAACCAACCGTGTTGGAGTAAATCGTGCGTAAACTCCGACAAAAAAACTTTCCTCGTACGGAATTGAAACAGATCAATGCTAAATATTTCAATGTAAACGCGCACGAGCCCCAGCCTTTGAATATGAAATCTTAATTAAAAGTTCTGTGAGATATTTAAAATACAACGGTGCGAATTAAATGCTATATTCATACACGAACTCACCATAAACTTTTTTCTACCGTTGAGGTCCTGAACACTTCTTCTTGATCAAGTGTAACAACACAATAACAGTTTCGCGAATATCTTGGCTCTTTTCTCGCTGGAAGATTTTTTGCCTCACCTGAAAAATCACACAGATAATGGAGAGCAATTCTCGAGAGAATTTTCGCTTTATTTTGAACCTACCTATTCTTATTTTGAGAGTTTCTTCAATGCGTACATCACACAAGTTTACACCAGCCGCCATGTCGAAGCCATTATTGTCACATGATCTCAAGATGTAAATTTTGATTGGATAGTGGCTTCCGGTAACAACTTGATTTAATTTCCGGTTTGGTATTTCTTTCCCGCGCTTTCTCCTGCGATTAATTATTTATTAAATTTTATCTATTTCACATGATGAAAAAGTTTTCTTTTTTCATTTAAAAGTTCGAAAATGTTATCCAACATAGTAAACGACTCAGTGATAATTTATGCAGTGAATCTTTGCGGTCAGCAAGAAGATTCGACAATGAAAACAAAATAGAGATGAAACTGATAAGAAAGTAGATGATAGTGTCACTGCACAATCATTACCGATATGGAAATTAAACCTGAGTCTGAAATGACTCAATGTTTTCACATAGAACACAGGATAACGTTATGATCGTAGCCGTGCAAAAATTTTTATAGACATAAAATTTAATATTTCGGGAGGAATTGCTATGAAATGCAGGTTTAAATATCGCGAAGATATTGAAAATTATATTCGGGTTAGCGTCAGCGTAGCCAGTTTAATAATGCAATATCTACCAATATTACTAATTGATCATTACTCATTTGGACATTTTACGTATACGATATGCACATAGATGACTGACATTAAAAAAGCTATTTTACAAGCCTGGGTGATAATGTGCTACAAACAGTTGTTTTATTGCCGTGTTGCGCAATTCCCACAGATCAGCTGTTCTGAGAGCTTAAAATACAACACTTATTGTTACAACTTCCTTTACCCCCTCAAAGTTTTTGCTTCATTAACCTCCATATGGTTTAAAATGCTTCCAAATTATCGTTTAAAAGGACAAATAATAAAAAAAAAACACAACAAACAAAGCTAAGTCAATTGTCAACTTGTCCATTTATCTTGAAAGCTAGGTGCCAAACAAAGCTGTTTTCATTCTTGTCAATCTAGGGTCGCCGTATTAATATCGTTCATTGATGCGGCCTCATTTACCTCTTTATCTGATATGTCCAATATGTATAGATCGATCATATGGGCTGTAGTTACAGCCACCATGGCAACACGGCCATATAACATCCCCTTTTAAATAAACCATTTGCAGACAAATAAAATAAATAAATTAATAAAATAAATGATTAGTAGACTGGTTAAAGCATTTTTCTCGCTTTTCTCTCTTTGCTTTTCTCTCTTTGCTTTTACATTTGCACTGTCATCTCTGCAATGTAAATAGATTTCGTTGTGTTTTTTCCATATTTTACGAGTCGGACGGTCAAAGAACGTAGGATTAAGTATTATTTACCTTATAATGCTCGGTTACTTTTTTTATAATAGCTTAGTGCTGCCTATTTTTGATTATGCTGATTTAGTCTGGGATGACAAGGACAATGTCACACTAATGAAGGAATTTCAAATTCCGCAAAACAAAGTTGATATTACGTATATGAGAACGATCCTTCGCAGTAAAGATATTAGATAGATCACTTCACTCCTCATCTACTGATGCATTAACAGTCTTGACATGGCTAAATCTTGAAGAAAGTAGGAAATGTCATCGATGTATATATGCATACAAGTGTATTAATGGCGAAATTATATATTCTTTGGACATGGTAAGAAAGAATGATATGCACTCCTACAATACGCGCAATAACGATACTATAAAGCTCCCCAAAATCAAATACAATCGGGGAAAACATCGTTCGCGGTATCACTGTTTCAAAGACTTTAATGAGTTAGAGAGAACTGTAAGAAACTCAGTAAGTTTGCATTTTTATATTTCGATTTTAGCTCAAATTTCTATATTTTAATTATATTTTTATATAATACACATCTAGTATTTAGGACCTCTATGTAAACCACTATTGTGATGGACCTTCCTAATAAAAGATTGTTATTATTATTATTAGAACTTACAGTCACATTGCCAAGTGGCTGGAAAGGTTGATGTAACCATGGCAACACCAAACGCTTTTGCAAAATTTCTGACATGCAACTTTATTCAGTTCAACTTTATTCAACTTTATTAATCATGGCAAATATTACAGAAAGCCATATCCACTGCCCGCAGCTAGCAGATTAGCTAGTCGAGGCGAGCAGTGGTTACACGTATGTTATATACACACGAATACAAATGGCTCACAAGAAAGACTAGAGAAAAGAGTAAAAATTGTCAAATAAATAAACAAATAAATAAAAATAAATTCAATTTAATGAAGTTTGCATTGCAAATATAAGAAGCCGAGTTTTCAGGAAGTTTTTGTTAAGTCGGGTAAATCAATATAATCATTTTCTTTGGAAAGTACTCGAAGTAAAGTGTCATGGACATTGATTTTAAAGTTATTTTTGGACAATTGACGCATTTCACAACGTGATATTCAATGACAATACTGACCCTTATCGACCTTATCGAAAAGGCTATCTCTAAGATGACTCTATTATCACCAGAAATTCCAACTGACATCGAGAGGTTCAGATTGATCGTATTTTCTTGGTATTTCCATTAGTTTGTTATTTTGGAAGTTAGAAGAGCCGTGTAGGTTGGTAGAGTGTTTATTCATCTATGAAACCGCAGCCATAAATCTCAATTCGTAAAGCAAACCGTCCGTATTTAGTAATAGGATGAACGCGGATGAACGAAGCCTTTATGAGAGGAGCTATAGCATGTTTCACGATGGTATTACGGTCTGAATTAGCCAGAAAAACCTGCAAGAGAGGACGAACTTGCTGAGTATTTTAGATGGAGCAGTAGTGGTGAACCTACAGTAAAAATTCATAACGATGCGAGCTTTAATAAATCCTAGCGCGCATCGATCAATTTTCAAATTATTGTCGAAAGCAGTCTAGTCCCCTTCGCAGCAATGTTTTTGGGAAACGATGCTTTACAAGGGGGGAGGGGGAAGGGATTCCGGGGTGCTCATGATGTGTGTGCTGACACATAAGGTTTGCATAAGTTTGGGCCAATTCCGTAGGTACGTCATGTATGGGGAATTATTATGTCCCCAATACATATAATGTCCTATACTTTACATACATATAATATCCTAACCTTACATACGACAGACATATACACCTATGCAGAGCTATATGCAGTTATATATTGCTATACACAGCTATACAGGGCTATACAGGGCTATACACAGTTATACACAGCTATACAGGGCTATGCACAGCTATACACAGCTATACACAGCTATACACAGCTATACACAGCTATACAGGGCTATACACGGCTATACAGCGCTATACACAGCTATACACAGCCGGCTATACACGGCTATACAGGGCTATACACAGCTATACAGGGCTATACGCACCTATACAGGGCTATACACAGCTATACAGGGCTATACACAGCT